AACTTTAGTATGGATAAGCCTGAAATACATATATATCCCTTCTTCAATTATGAAGGGATAGTTACAAGTATGTGTAACCAACTATCAAAATAAGGCATAATAAAAGCATTGGCATAAGAATTTAAAAGCTCAATATGAATATTTCAATACAATGATGATGTGCATAACTGCTTTGGTGCTGCACAGTAATTGCAATTAGGCCCAATGATCAGCAGCAGTTCCTGACTATAATTATTCTCATGTGACCAAGCCAAGAGTGTCCAGGATCACTTAGAAAAGTTCACAAGATAACTAAGGGATCCAGGTAGGCTAGGTCTCCTTGATTCTTCAAATGAGGTAGCTATTTCCTATCTCTGTGACATCAGACAGGGATGACACTGGAAACAGGACTCAATTTGGCTGTCGGGGATGAGAGATAATAGTGGTGATGAGAAACCACTGCCATCTTCACTGAGTGATGAAAAGATCAGAATCTGCATAATCTGGGCTTCAGGTTCCACACAAAAAGGTAGGGGGGGTGGTAGGGAGAAGTGAAATAGCGGGAGACAATATGGGGAAAAGGGAGCTCAAATTCCTCTCCCTTCACTCCTTGAGTTTGAGGATCTAAGATTTTTCCAGAGGGGTCCTAGAATGTAATATACTCTAGAGTGGGAAGAACATGAACCACACTACTAAGGAGTTCACATCCTAACTCTACCTATTTCTTACTGTTTAGAAGCTTAGAAGTTTTAAAATCACTCTTTAAGCCTCAGATTTCTCTTGAGTAAAATTGCAATTACGTAATTTATCTTGTCTAATTGACAAAATATAAGTGTCTAGGACAAAATAGTTAATAAATATTAATTCTATTCCCCTTTTTTTCCTGGCACATACTAACTGGTGGATTTAAAGGAATGACTCTCTTGCCTTAAAGTATTGCCTGAGTTTCTAAAATCCCATCAATTAAAGATTTATTTGGATTAATGTAAGAAACTCTTCTGAAAAGCTGGAAAAAGGGAGAGCTTTCATTGATTCACATGGTAGTGTGCATATGTTTAACAAAACTAGAAAAACAAGAATGGGATCCAAGAAAGAGCTTCAAAGGATGAGCTGTTTTGGAGATGGGCATGTGAGCAAAATGACACAATGAACATGGCTCTGGATAGAGCCAGGGACCATCCTAAAGACACTAAGCTCTGGAAAAGGGGAAAAAAGATGAAAAAACAACTTGCTCCCTTGTCTGATTCTTCTTCTCTTACCTTCTGTATTAACCTGACTGTGCATGAAGTCTTGAAGCTACTGGGAAAATGGGTAAACACTATGCTGTGGTCCTGTGATCAAGTCTTATGATGAGGCCTACCAAACCCAGGGCTCTTTCTAGGATGAAGTATTCATCCCAGAATGAAGTATTCAACAAAAGCAAATGATACAGGCAGGGATATTCTTATCTCCATGCTTTCCATACATACAGGCAGCTTGGTAGTAATGCTGCTAGGCAGCAGACTCACCAGTTTAGGAGTAATTTTGGAGGATACAACATCCCCACAGAGCACTGTTATGAAACACATCTTTCATGCTCATATGTGATATCTGAGAGATGAGGGAGAACCAGTGCACCAGGGATCACAGTCAGTTCTTGCTCACGTCACCAAGTTCTAACATCTAGTGCTGTCTTTAGGCTGATCTAGCTTCCTGCTGAAGAGACTGACGGACCAGAATAAGGGTCAGCTGACTTAGTCCTCAAAGGATACTTCCTTTCCCCATCTTGCAAGTCAAAGTCTGAGAGGGCCTCAATCCTTGGGGCCAACAGAGCATGTAGGGTATTATAGGTAACAACATTGTTGTTTAAAACTGGGATCCACAAAGGGGAAGTTCTATTTAACAAAAGAGAAAATACTACCTGTTATATCTAGTTTTTTTTTTTTTTTTTTTTTTTTTTGGGGGGTGGGGAGATGGAGTCTTACTCTGTCACCCAGGCTGGAGTGCAATGGCCTGATCTCGGCTCAATACAACCTCCACCTTTCCGGGTTCAAGCAATTCTTCTGCCTCAGCCTCCTGAGTCACTGGGACTATAGGTGCACACTGCCACGCCCAGCTAATTTTTTGTATTTTTAGTAGAGACAGGGTTTCACCGTGTTGCCCAGGCTGGTCTCAAACTCCTGTGCTCAGACAATCCACCAGCCCCAGCCTCCCAAAGTGCTAGGATTACAGGCGTAGGCCACCGTGCTTGGCCTATACCTACATTTTTATTGTGGAGAACTGACCAACCATGCAACCAAATTTACCCAGAGCTTCTACAGGAATAGCAGTTGGCGAATTATGTTCTACAAAGTAGGATCCTTGCCTGTATATTACTAGATAGTACCTCTTTAGCCCAGAGTAATGCTTTCCTGGATGTAGGTGAACTCACGCAGTCCATGACAGGACCTAAGTTAATGGATTATGTCCAGTAAGAAACCATTTGGGATAATAAAAGACAGACAAATGAGCCGAACTGAACAAATAAGCCAAATGGTAGCGCTGAACTCTTATTTTTCCTGATCATACCTTCCCATCTTCCTAGTAAACTACAACAAGCAATGTTCATTTCTACTCTACTGCCTAAAGAGTAATCTATTTTTACAACTATACTATGAACTTGCTTTCAGGATTACTGTATACCATGTCAGCCTCCTCGATATCTTTCATTATTGGAGGAGAAAACCGGCAGTATCTCCTTTATCTCCATTAAAGGATGGCTGCTCCATTAATTTTGTTATTCTGTTAATTTTGAGCCCTGAGATTCAAAGATATTAACCTACCTAGACCAGAATCTAATTTGTTTAGTCCACTTGCTAAGCTGAACGGTGGATAAATCCTTCAGTAAACAAATTCAAAAGCAACCAGTTAATTACCTTCCACCATAAAGATTCACTGAATCACCATTCTCAAACAGCAAGCCTGCACACTCCCAATACTTTCAAATAGTGCTTGGTATAGAGGATACAAGTACACAGACGGTAATAACCCCGACTAACAAAGAAACCAGACTCACTGCCAGGGAAAGAATTAATGCTCTTTCACTTGTCTGTACATCCTGCTGATGGTAAGCAAGTCCCAGACCTGTTTCCTGTGCTGAACTGAGAATGCCATCAGGTCCGGCAGGAAAGCAGCCAGACTAGATGAGAAAATATTCCTGAACCATAATGCTTCATTCTCTTGCCCCTTCAAATGCTGATCCTTGCTATTCTGGATCTTGAGTATCTCTTTCACTGCAGACCCAAAGCCTCAATTTTCCTAGTTAAGATTTTTCCTCTAGGATTTTCCTAGTTCGTATTCCATAATTTCTCTCTACCTTGGATATCTATTAACATCACCAAAGTGACAGTATAGAAGTAGCTAACAGCTCACTGAATCCTTTTTTTTCTATGATCTTTCCAAAATGTTGGCCAGCCAATATAGTAAGAATTCATTATTTCTCACACTAGCGAGGAGTCTCCATATGGCTTCTTCACAAAATTCTGTGAAAAGCTTTTTCTTGCCATTCTTTTAGATGTGTACATCTTCGATGGGATCTGACCATTATATCCTCTTTTGTTTATAGTGATCTTCCCAAATTTTCACTATGTAAACTTTGCCTCATTTCTCCCCGACTTTTTCATTGCTTCTCTGTCAACTGAGTTTCATACTGTCATGTTCACATTAGATATCAGACATTTACATATATACACGCCAAACACAAAGTTCTTCTAAGCAAATACACAAGACTATGTCACAGTGTCCGAGATGTGCTGGAGGTGACCACTATCCATGAAAAACCTCTCTATAAATAGAGACACTATTTGAGCAAAAATTGTGGTCAGAGACACCTAACTATCTCCCGTCCTCCAGCCTGGACTGCAATTACACCATTAGGGAGAAAATGGGTGGTTGGCCTTTGCCAACTATCTGGGCTAGGCATGGTGGCTCACCCCTGTAATCCCAGCACTTTCGGAGGCTGAGGTGGGCAGAACACTTGCCGTCAGGAGGTTAAGACCAGCCTGGCCAACACGCCGAAACCCCGTCTGTACTAAAAATACAAAAATTAGCCAGGTGTGGTGGCATATGCCTGGAGTCCCAGCTACTTGGGAGGCTGAGGTGGAAGAATCGCATGAACCCGGAGTCAGAGATTGCAGTGAGCCAAGATCACATCACTGCGCTCCAGCCTGGGCAAGAGTGAGACTCCATCACAAAAAACAAACAAAAAAAACTTCCAACAAAAGTATTTATACAACCTCCCTAAGTAATCTCATACAATCAAATTCTCCTCACACCTGTAATACCAGCACTTTGGGAGGCTGCGGCAGGAGGAGTACTTGCATCCAGGAATTCAAGTCTAGCCTGGGCCACAGCAAGACCCTGTCGTTATCAAAAAAAAAAGAAAAAAAAAATTTATTTACTGTTTTGTTTTTTTTTTTTTTTGAGATAGAATCTTGTTCTGTCACCAGGTTGGAGTTCAGTGGCATGATCTCGGCTCACTGCAACCTCCGCCTCCCAGGTTCAAGCGATTCCCCTGCCTTAGCCTCCCAAGTAGCTGGGACCACAGGGGCACACCACCATGCCCGGCTAGTTTTTTGTATTTTAGTAGAGACAGGGTTTCACCATGTTGGCTAGGATGGTCTCGATCTCCTGACCTCATGATCCACCCGCCTGGGCCTCCTAGAGTGCTGGGATTACAGGCATTAGCCACTGCACCCAGCCAAAATTTTTTAAAAAATTAGTTGGACATGGTGACTCACAAGTGCAGTTCAAGCTACTTGGGAGGCTAAGACAGGAGGATCCCTTGGACCCAGGCTGCAGTGAGCTATGATGGTGCCACTGCGCTCCAGCCTGGGTGACAGAGCATGTCTCTAAAAAAATAATTTTTTTTTTTTTAAAAAGGATCAATGTGATTAAACATAAAATAATTTGTGGGCACCATTCTTGAGTTTGAATGTATGCTAGTAATGATGCAATAATTTATAAATATCCTTATTAAAACTATTGCTACTTGTGGTACTTACCTTTAGTCTGATGAAATTGTTTAACCAGATCCTTTATATCCAGAGAAGTATTCCCTGAAAGAATACAGGAAATACAGATACATAAAATTCCCAACTTAACATGTTTTCTTTTTCAAAGTAGCAAACATATAAAGGAATAACAAACCTTCTCTATACATAGTAAGTTCTTTAAAATAAACTACTGCAAACTGGTTGATGTTTGATGGGTTGCTTTTGATAGTGGCTCTGCTAATTCCTTCGAGTAGAGTCTTGAGGCCATAGGGTATGCCAAATCTGGACGTTGAAGAAATCATTTTGGCAGGATGTCTGTAACTCAACTAGAATGGAAAAAAACAAAGTCTTATAAATAATTAATTTTACTGAAATAGTTCTTATGAGTTAACTATACTTTCCAGGAATAAATTATCTCCTATTAAAATTATTAACTTTAGTTATAATATTTAGGTATTCATTTTAGTAAAATGGACTAATTCTTGATGGTAGTTAAAACACACACACACACACACACACAACTCTACTACCAATAGCTTACTAAGTGCAGATGAGCAATCTAGTACCATTACAGAAATCCACAGGAAAAGCTCTGCCAAGACCCTTAGGACATTAAAAACGAACGAAAAACAAAACCTGCTCTTAAAATTCAGTGAATATTTTGTGCAGCTAACATTTCATGTATGTTTCTAAACAAGTCCACACAGGCACTGGCCCTTCTGTACTTATATTAATCAAAGGTTACAAGACAGTTTTTTTCTTTAAGAAAATATCTTTTTTCCTTATTTTTCTAAATACATCCTCAGACATGTTGCTTAAGTGTGCATTCTTTAGGTTTAAATTTTTTTTTTTTCCAGCTTGCTTCATACCTGCAGGAATAAGTTTGTTTTTAACATTAATCAGAGTGGGTATAATTTATTGTGGCATTATTATACCACCCACTGTCATCTGTACCTTTCTTTTCTCGTATCTCCCTTACCCTCTGCGCAAATTTTCCCTTATGTTTCCCTTTCTGCCTTTCTGACTTTTAAGTAGTATCAAACGTATTGCACAGACCAATCTGTAATTCTCAGAGTTGCAGAGGCTGGCGCCTTAAACTGTGTCAGGGTGTATGTGTTCTGACTCCTTCTAAAATATCTCAGGCTTCTAAAGAACAAAATTAAATATTTAAGAAAATCCCTAAAGTGGTGAAGGGAAAACTGACAGGAAAAACAGAATAAAGGACAGGTGAAGTTAGTACTCCAGTGCATGCCTCAGTGCCTTTACTTTGATAAAGATGGGTATCAAATCTGTCCCTGAGCTGCCAAGCTGCCAACACAAAATAGGAAACAGGTGGTTAAATGATTCAGGTTTCCTGAGGTGAAAAATCAGTTCCTTGGGAGAACCACAGCTATTCTGGATACCAAAACCCAGGAGAAATTTCTCCCCCAAGTCCTTGTAAAGCAAATGGTGTGATGTCCTCAGCAACATCCCTACAGTAAATAATGAGTTTCATGGGGCTAAGTGGCATAGTTTAGTTATAACAATTATAGAAGGGCCCAGGTTCTATTATAAAGTAACTAATATAGCAAAATGTTGAATACTTAAAAGCACATCTCATCTTCCCAAAGGTCAGGACAAAATGAATCTGGCCAAAGCACACTCTTAATGAAAACTTCCTTTCACAGTATCATTCGACAGATTTACTGAATTAAACCATCTTTAAAAAATCAGAAGTGATCTAGCAATCCCACTGCCGGGTATATACCCAAAAGAATGGAAATCATACACCGAAGAGATACCTGTACTCCCATGTTTGTTGCAGCACTGTTTACAATAGCTAAGATTTGGAAGCAACCTACCTAAGTGTCTATCAACAGATGAATGGATAAAGCAAATGTGGTACATACAATGGAGTACTATTCAACCATTAAAAAAGAATGAGATCCTGTCATTTGCAACAAAGTGGATGGAACTGGAGATTATTACCTTAAGTGAAATAAGTGAGGCACATAAAGAAAAACATTACATGGTCTCTTATTTGTAGTAGCTAAAAATCCAAACAATTGAACCCATGGACAGAGCAGAAGGATGGTTACCAGAAGTTGGGAAGGGTAGTGGGGGCCTAGGTAGGGGAGGGGGAAAGTGGGGCTGGTTAATGGGTATAAAAAATGAATAAAACCTACTGTGAGATAGCACCACAGGGTAACTGTAGTCAAGAAGTTAATTGTACATTTAAAATAGAGTGTAACTGGATTGTCCGTAACACAAAGGATAAAAGCTTGAGGGGACAGATGACCCATTCCCCATAATGTGATTAACATTGTATGCCTGAATCCAGACATCTCATGTAACAATTTTTTTAAAAAATTGAAAGTGGGGCTTCGGCAGGCCCACATGCTAAATGCTAATGGGCACAGGCAGCACTCATATATATCATATGTATAATTTTCTTTCAGTACCCAAGGTGAGTAGTAGATAGTCCGTTAAGGCTTCCAGAAACCACGATGGCGCCAACAACCTTTCAGGAGGCAGTTAGCAGTTGGTGCTACCAACAGTGGGGACAGCGGCCATGCACTCCATGCTCCCCTGTCCTAGTTCTCACTCCGACTTTGGGAACGTGAGGGGCCAGGGACGCTAAACATCCTACAGATCAGTTCCCCACAAAGAACGATCCTGAGCTACCTGAGAAAAATCAACGGGTGAAATCGTCACAAACACTATTAGGGTTAAGAGCGACAGCTTAATATTCTCCCCAGATCACTCCTATCAACAATACTGGTCCAACACTAGCACAAGTAAACCCTCCCCCGCCCAACTGCAAATGTCCCTGCGCCAGCTGCCACAAGGGTCACGCCATAAGCAAGAAACACGATGCCTTTCAGGAAGCGAGCGGGGGCTTCGGAACCACAGGTAACGGAAACCGCACTCTCCAACTCCTCCCTAAAGCGAGACTCCGTCAAAAAAACAAAAACAACAAAAAAACAAACAAAAAAACTCTGGTGTGTGGGCCCCCGCTGAAAAAAAAACAAACCACCTCCTGTGTGTGGGCCCCAGCTGCGTCCCTGCTCCTCGTTTTGCACTTGGTTTGGTCTCTTTGGGAGAGAGGAGAGTGAGACGTAGGAGGCTAGGCGTGCTCATTTCGCCTGCACTCGTTCAGGAGGTGAGCGACGGACCCGCCAAGGCCTGGATTCGGGAGCGCCACCACAGCGCTGGCAATCCGCTGGCCGCACTCCCCGCTGTGGGCGGTGCCGCCCCACAGGCCCCCAACTCCGAGGACCCTCTGCTTGGGGCCCCCACGACCTCTCCAGTTACGCGAGACGGCCTGAGGCATAACTGTCTCCGAGGCCGCAGGGTGCGCCTTTTCCCCAGACTCTCCCCACCTTCTTGACGGCTGCGTTCTTAAGAGCTTCCTCGTTACCCGCTTGCGGGCGGCTCCTGAGGACGCCTGAGCCTTGCGGGCCTTTTTATAGCCCCGGAGGCGCGCCAGGGCGTGCGTCACAAAGCCCCGCACGCACGCAAGGGGGCGGGGCCACAGCGGCTGCAGTCAATGAGAAGCTGAGAGCGAGGGAGGCCGTAATGTGGCCGGCGAGGGCGGCATATTTCTTCTTTTCTGGCTAAATCTGAAGGAATTCAGGTGAATTTATTTCCAAACAAACGGCCAGGAGTAGCTCTAAGCGTCGCCTCTCCATCTTTGGTCGTTAGGCCTAAAATTAAAGCTGGTTTGGAAGGAAATAGATTTATGCTGGTGCTGTCTTGCTGTCGCTGCCTCGCCATTTCACACACTGCTCCTGGCCCCCAAAACTATAGCTCTCTTCCGTGACCTTTAGGAAGAATAATTTCTGCCGCGGTGTAGACATAAAGAGTGAATAACTTTATGCAACAGAGTACTTTTTCTTTTGGGAGACTCTCCTGTGGAATGGGAGTTCAGCATGAATCCCGAAATTTCCTGTTTCTCCATAGTTGAGATCAGGCACCATCTATCCCTCAAAAGCACACCGTCAGGGGCAAGTTGCAAGTGAAAGAGTTACTGCCTGTAACTTCCACTCAGTGTTACCAAACTAAAGGAATGTTGTTACGTTTAAAAACGCCCACTCTGTGCTCTTTCACTCATTTAGGCTCAGGTATTTGGGCGGGGGTCATTTAACACCATAATCATGATTATTGGAGTACAAGGAGCCTTAATTTTGATCCATCTTCAAATGTTTAAAAAGCAACTACTGTGGCCGGGCGTGGTAGCTCACGCCTGTAATCTCAGCACTTTGGAAGGCTGAGGCAGGCCACTCATGAGGTCAGGAGATTGAGATCATCCTGGCCATGGTGAAACCTCGTCTCTACTAAAATACAAAAAAATTAGCCAGTCTTGATGCACCTGTAGTCCCAGCTACTCAGCAAGAGTCTGTCTCAAAAAGAAAAGCAACTACTTTAAACCAAAGAGAATCATCAGGGCAAATATCTAACAACAACAACAACAACAACAACAAAAAACCCTATTTTTTAATTCAGAAAATATTAGGGCTTCCAGAGCACTTTGCAATAAAAGGCAATGTTAAGGTCAGTCAGCATTATCTGGGGTCATTCATTAATCCATTTAATAATTGCTGAGAGCCAGGCAAGTTCCCTCTTCTTGGGAAGATTACACACTTAAAAAGGGAGAAATAGCGAGACTACATCTCAAAAAAACAAAAAAACAAAAAAAAAAAAGCGGGAGAAATGCTTTTAGACTGTGTTGGTGGGTCTGCCGATGATACAGTTTTCATCCTTCATCACTTGCCTCCAGCACCACTTTGGTAATGTAAATAAAAGTGGGATGAGGTTGTCATGATTTCTGATGGCTTGGTTTATAATACATAGAGCTATCAGAGAAATAATGAACTGAACTACTAAAAATCCTAAGTACAAACACTGAGACCGCATCTATGGTGTTTTTTGGAACTGGAGACATTTATGGTTTTTTAACCCAACCTGGGTGGGTCATCTCAAGCATCTATTAGGTGTTACGGTATTATGCAGAAATACCTGTAACTCAGAAAATAAGATTTTACTCTTTCCTCATTGCAATGTTTTGGTTGAGTCACTCTGAAATGCAAATTGTTTCAATGAAAACATCCAACCAAGAACTTTCAAACCATTGCCCATCTGCTGCTTTCATTTCTTGAACTCTTAATGATTTGATGTGGTTTCACAATGTTGGCCTTGGCCTCCTTTTCAGTCACCAGTATTTTATTTGTTGGTCACCAGTGATTTAAAATGCAACTCTTGTCTTCTTTTCTACTGCCCCTCCCCCACACCCCAAATCCTTACCCTGTGGAAGTCCATGGTTCTGGGTGTGGCCTCTGCATACCTCTCCTATTTCATCTCTCACCACATGGTTCCCACTTGACCCTCCAGAGTCTTGAACACACATGGCATTTGTCACCTCTGTGCTTTTTGCGCATCAGGTCCAAGGCCTTGGATGCTGCTCCAGCAAGTGTTTTCACCTGACTGGATCCTGCTTATCCTTTAAAACTCATCTCAGAAATCTCCTACTTTAGGAAGCCAGTGAGTTAGAAGCATTTTCTCAGTGGCCCCATGATGCATGCTCTATGACTTACCCTTGCTACATAATTCTATATACTTCTGCTTGTGTTTGACTCTTCTCCCAGTTTTACTAAATACTTAACAAAAGATAAATAAGGCAATGCTTCTCTAATCCACATCATCTGCATAAGAACTCATCCCAGGAGCTTGTTAAAAATGCCTTCCCAAGCCCTAACTCAAACCTATCAAATCAGAATCTCTATGTAAAACACGAAAATTGACAACCACTGGCCTCTGGGAAGAGGAACTAAGCATTACATAGAGATCACCTGGGTTTCAAATGTGTTGCTTCTATTTCACACCCAAGTCAACTAGGTGATACCCTTGCTAGTTTTCACAAGAAAGCCAGTTAAATTGTGCTCTTGGTGATTTCTGCATACTTTACTGAGGAAGGAGCATATCTGTTATGGACCAACTTTTTTTCTTGCTCCCCTATCCTTTTCTCTTTCTGCATTTCTTCTTCTAGCTTCTGAAGTATCTGCCTCAACTATATATCTTCTTGGATGATCTCAATTTAACAATAGTCTTTCTACAAAATATACCATCCACAGAAACCAAAACAGTACATCATGACTCTGTGAATGTGTATCTTCATAGTGTAAGGCCACATTTGAACACCTGCCACCATGATTTACTCAAGGAAGAAATCCGATGGAAAAGTTTATACAGCAAAGAAGCGTGTGTGTGTGTGTGTGTGTGCGTGCGCACGCGCGCACATGCACATGAGCACATGTGCTCATTTTAAAAATCAGATATGACTTGTCCTTTAACTTTAGCTGGCAGAGACAGAAAAGTGCAAATTCGGTAAATAATTGACTTACACAATATGTGACAATAAATATTCTAATTTTCTGTGACATCTAAAAGTTATAATTCTTTACTCAGTAGAAGACAGCTATCAGGTGCTAAAATAAAAAAGATACCTAACCCATTGAAGGTAAAATCTTAGTTATATTAACCAGCAAGGTACATATTACATTATTATTACTAGACCATGCCTCCAAGTGTGTCAATTTATAAAAGTGTTCAGCATACATAAAATATACATTAGAGATTTCTCTCATCATAGGCACAATCTAATACAAAAATATATTTGACATTTAAAAATTAGAAGATCCATTGAGAGCCTCCAAAATAGGAAAGGGGAAGGAGTAAGTGATGACAACATAAAAAAAGAAACACACATAGATGCAAATAGTTCCACTTATATGATTATTGTCTTCATCAGCAAAGGGTTAAGAGCAGTTTACACCAAACCAAGTTACCAGGCGGATCACAAGCAGTTCACAGGTTGGATGAGTCACAGCACGCAGGCCAGAAAATGTACTCAGACTTCGGTCAATCTAATGGGACAGTGCACTCACACTATGGTTTTGTTTTGGAGTCTAGAAGCTCCATCTACCCACTCTCCATGGTCTACCACCATGTTAACATAGATGTTCCAAGGGGGCCATCTGTACCAAGCCTAGGATAGACTCTTTAAAAAAAACAAACAAACAAACAAACAAAAAAACCTGGCTGGGCGCAGTGGCTCATGCCTGAAATCCCAGCACTTTGGGTGGCCGAAGCGGGTGGATCACGAGGTCAAGAGTTCAAGACTTGCCTGGCTAAGATGGTGAAATCCCGTCTCTACTAAAACTATAAAAATTAGGCGTGGTGGCAGGCACCTGTAATCCCAGCTACTCTGGAGGCTGAGGCAGGAGAATTGCTTGAACCCGGTTGACAGAGCCTAGATGGCACCACTGCACTCCAGCCTGGATGACAGAATGAGATTCCATCTCAAAATAAATAAATAAAATTTTAAAAAGACCTACACTTTGACCAAAGAAAACCTACAGGATGGTGTTGCAAAACACAAAATTGTCTATCCAGGTAAGTGAGCTGAACACAAACTCATTTGAAGTCCTGAACTCTCTATGGGGAAATAAATGTAGTTTTGTAAGCAGGCAGAAATAAATCTTTTGAAAAAGAGTCAATTATGTAATCTTTGAATATGGAATAATAGTTCAAACAATATTTTAAACTGAAAATTCAAGAATGAACTCTGAAACAAGAATGCCATGATTCAGAATGCTCCCATGATCACGACAGAAAAGCTTGTCACCTATGCTGCACGTTAAGAAGAGAACAAAATGGCAATAGCCGTATTTTAAAGATTCACAATGTTCTTCTTCCCTTCAGTCTAGGTAAAACCAGATATTCAATATTTTGGACACCAATTTTTCTCTTCAGAAAAAAGTTCACTTCTTGACTTCTGGAGGCTCTCATACACTGAATATAGGAGAGCAATCTCTTCTCTCTTACTATTATGTAAAATCCACACCGAATTCACATCAAGAGAAAGTCAATGTGAATAAACAGTTTTGGCAACAGTCTACTGAAAAGTGGTCAGTAACACAGATGAAGAAACATGAATATAGTTTTGCCAAAGTCAGTGAGAAATAACTTCTTTCAAAGAAATTATGATTATTCCTTCAAAACAAGGTCAAATCAGATTAAATTTGCCAACATTCTACTTGCTTTTCTCATGTTTTATTTTGAAAAGAAATATTAAAATATTAATATCATGAGATCATGCTTCAGCCAAAAGAATTTGTAAATAACGATACTCCAAAATGATACCCTTTTGCTCAATAAAAATTTCTTTAAAAACCTAACCTTAAACATTGAGCAAAATATGGCAATGATTCTTAAAAGTGACTGAGGTATTTAGATACTTCAAAACCACAGGTTTGCAGTACTGGGCATGGAGGTAAATTAAATGACAATAAAAATTAGAAATGAAGGATAAAAAAATAACTTTGAATTCCTTTTATAATATCTAAATAACCTGAGCTAAGGGAAAAATGATTAAAACCTGGCACTGTGTAGCCCAGCAAATGTTCCACCAGCAAATATTTTGAGGCAAAAATCTATGTTCATTCACAAATAATCTTTCAAGTCATTTGTTAAAAGATTTCCAAATGTTGGTAATTTGACAATTTTCAGAAAGAAAGGAAAACTCCCAAAATGTAGATATTATTTGTCTAATCTATAGACTATGCCTTCTAACAGATTAGCAAAAGGGTTACACTTTTAGTTGTAAAATTATCTTCTATTAATATTTGCTACTTGGTTGGCTTTCGAAGGAAAAGAGTGTCCATCACTTTGAAACATTCTGTAGACAATCTGGAGATGAGTATTTCTGTTGACATAACTTCAACTGAAGATTTTGTTCTTTTAATAAGTAAAGCATGGAATTCTGGCCTATTAACATGAATTATTTTTATAATAAAAAGAACAGTTGGTCAGGAGATCTGCTTTCTATTCTTTGCTCTGCTGATAACAGGAATAATTAATTGGGATAAGTCAATTAGCCTTTCTATGCCTGAGTTTCACTGTCTGCAAAGGGGGGTTAAGAATTCTTATCTGTGCTATGTTATTCACTGGAGTTGTGAAGATAAAGTAAAACGCTAGAAAGCACTTTTATTTTTTCAAAACACAAATATAAATGTTATGTCATGATATTGTTAATAATTTACAGGTATGTTACCCATTCAGATATGTGCTTACAGTAGGTGTTCCTACAGGATCTTGGGTTGGATATTTTGTTTGATTTTTAAAAATAATAAATCACAAAACTAAAATGTTTGAGCAAGGTCACTTAACCCTCTCCCCGG